AACGGCCAATCAACCAATTAAGTTGAGAAATCATTCATTAAGTAAAACGATCAAACAGTTACTACGCCAGCAGCTCAGTCGAAACAGGGCTGTCAGTAACTTACTAAGAGATAGTCAAACCGCCAGCCAGCTAGTCGGCAGTCAGTACGTTGGACCGTCAATCCGTCAGTCAGTCAGATCGTCAGTTAGTCCGTCAGTCAGTCCGTCAGTCACTGAGCTATTTAGTCATTCATCCAGCCCGCCAATCAGTCATTCAGTCGGTCAGTCAACCAGCCAATTAGCCAGCAAGTCAGTCTTTGAGTCAGTCATCTGGTAGGCCGTAGCGACAACTCACTACGGAATATAGTTTACGGGAAACCGACACACAACGACAGATTACTAGACAAGTCATCCTACAACCCTACATCACACAAAGCCACAACTATCAGAACTCTAACACGACGCGGGCACCTAGTATGCGACTCGACAGACAGCTTATCCGACGAGAACAAATACCTTCACCGTGTTTTTTCAAAGAACAACTACAACGGCGACTTCATCCGACGAAACACTCACCGACTCACTACCGCTACCGAAACAAACGACACCGCAACTCCTACGATTACAGCAACCATACCGTTCGTAAAAGGCATGTCTGAGAACATCTCGCGCATCTTACACCCCTTCAATATCCGCGTCGCCCACAAACCCATCACCTCGCTACGTCAGTTACTAACCAACGTTAAAGACAAGGACGAACTGAGGAACAGACAGGGAGCGATTTATAAGATCAATTGCTCCGATTGCCAAGCCTCCTACATCGAAGAGACTGGCAGAAATCTCGCACAAGACTGACTGAACACAGACGGGCGACGAGGAAAGGTGATGTCAACAATCCCATTGCTAAACAACATCGACTTACGAACCACAAAATTGACTGGGACTCTGCGCATAGCCTTACCTACAGCACTGACAACTTTCAACGACTTACTCTGGAAAGCTGGTTTACTAACTTAGAACAGACTCCCCTAAACAGGTGTCAACTACTACCGGCTCCATACAAACGACTCATTCACGTCGTAAACATTACAAACGAACCGAACAGAACGACCTAACTTTACCAACGGATCGAAACAGACCAATCACGACCGACTTACGCCACTTGAGTCTTACAGCCAATAACATGACGGAAAAACTGACCAATCATTTTACAAGAACCGAAATAAGAACATTCTACTAACAACAACTATTCACTTGACTCTGATGATGACTTCCGCACAGGTTGTCGAAACGTCAGTCACTGCCACCGACAACAGACCTTCTCAGGACTACACTCACCCAGACGATTACCCTACACTTTCACAGTCATCTCATTGTTACCGAAATTCCAATTCGTAAATCTCAGACTTCAAGGTTCGATCATTAATTGAACACAGTTTAGCTGTGGTTCAACAAAACCAAACCTTAAATAACCTTTATTTTAACTAGACCTTTTATCTAAACATTTATTTTTGCGAAAAGTTTCAAGAGGGCCGAAAACTAACGAGGGAAGGAAATTTATTTTAGTAACTCAAACCTCTTACAGAGAGAGCTTAAGGCCCACTGATTGTGTAAAACCGTGTTTTAGGTTAGACTTCGTGTAAATAATTGACCCTAAGAGTCCCCTTGAGCGTTGCGAAATAGGAGAAGAAGAAAATAGATAGAGGGAGACATCCGCAGTATAAGAAAACGAGGAGTTTTTCCTCCTCAAAACAATTTTTTGTTACTAACGTAGAAGCTGGGTTTATCAGACGTATAGAAAATTGTTTCGCAGCTTTCAAGTTGGCGTTTTGTTTTGGTTTTACTCACCTTTTAAGATCATTTTCTTTGGACTTAAGTGCCATTTGAAAAATCTACAGTACTTCTTCAGTTTATTCATTGATACCTCAGACATGATTTGTCGATAAAGAGAAAAACTGTTCGTGCCCTTATGGCATTTACAAAGCAAATGACTATAAAGCATTTTTTCTTTTTTCTTTTCTTCACTCATATTAACTATTTGGGCAAAAAGTTGGGCCCAAAGAATGTCGAAATCTCTATATAAACAATCAGATGCCGAAAAAAATCATTTGGTTGGTAACTATCTTTTCTCATAATTCAGAAAGGAAATGCTTGTTTCAGAGAGGACCTAACAAACATTAAACTTTTTCACCCTAACATTTGCATTTATATTTTCCACACTGTTTACTTTTCAACTCCTTTGGTATTGACAAGGAGAACTCTAAATTGGTAATCATTTCCTCCATTCCTAAAACTCTAACTTTTAATTCAAGGCTGATTTTGCAAGGTGAAATTTAAAGCTCCACACTCTCAAGGACCAATAGGGGGTAAGTTAGAACCCTGAAAAAATCTTATTTCCTTTCTTTCTTGGCCCCATAAAAAAAAAAACAAAAACAAATCTGTCGCACCCGATTGTAAATGATTAGCATTTCACAACGTTTTCCTGTTCAGCAATCGAAGCACAGCTGGGAATATAGTTGGCTTGTGAAAATTGAATAAATGTGGAGAAAATGTAGTTAAGGTAGGTTTGTCATAATAATAATGAATTCAGTTGATATACGATCTTCAACTCGATTGAGTTAAGAGAAGACCAGTGTGAGTGAAGAGTAGTTTTAAGAAACTTTTCTTTTTAAAGAGATGAGTAAATAATCTCGTACATCTCTCTAAACTGTGTTTATTTTGTCACTGTTCAAATGCAGTAGCACAACGGCTAAAAACACTTAAGAGACAAGATATGAGAAACTAAGAATAACAAGTATTACTCGGAGCGAAGAAGATTGAAAAAACGGTTTGAAATAACGGACTTGTAATAGTAAGCAAACTTCTTTAGGACAGAGTGTGAACTGTGTTGGTATTCCTTCGGCACACTATCGTGTACTTATTAATAATTATAATGCAAAATAAAAGCACATGCACATAAAATAATGATCAAAGATCTCAGAGACCCTTTAACTTACTTCAGTTCTTTGCACTTTTCTAGCAGTTGTCTGATGTCGCCACTGTAGTACTCAATCCTTCCTCCGCCCACAAACAAGTTAAACTGAGAATATTGATTTAAATTATTCTTAAAAAGTGGACAACATTTTTTGTTTTATCAGATGTAAGAGTACTGTCACATTCGGTGGTAGCGGAGACTAACACTATATCTCCAACCTTAATTTTGCAAGCAGAGGAAGGAATTAAAGATAACAATGCTGTATTTCAGAAATTAGCAGAAAATCATATCCTCTGAATTAAATGTGTTTATGAGTTAGACCTTCCGTTTGGGACAAACTTGTTAGTCATATCTTCGGATTGACAATTAAAAGAACAATTGAGGACTCTTTTGTAAATCACTTATCAGTGAAATTGATATCCTCAATAAAGATTATTATCATAAAAGTCAGAAAGGAAGAAAAAAATTGGTAAAATGTAGTAGTGAGTTGTATAAGATCCATACGAGGATTGCCAAGTTTTCTTAGCATTTGCGTGACTAGTTGTGTAATATGAAACTTACGTGATTTATCCGTTCGTACATGTGAGCCAGCGGTAAAAATAACAGTTTCACATACCATGTTGTCAGCTCAAAACCGTTCTGTGATGAATATCAAAACAAGTAAGACAAGTAAGGAATTTTTGTAGTCTCTTTTTCACGATCTAGTTTGCATAAAGCTGGTGATCAATTTTTCTAACCGCTGGAAGTTAAGGCCGGGAGACTCGACCTACTTTGGGAGGCCTGAGTACAAAGAATTGGGAGAACAGGTTTGGGTCTAAATATGGTGGAGCACCACAATGTTTCGAACTGTTACCCACGTTCCTACGAATTTTCTAATTGATTGTACAGGGACCATCATCGATGTGTAGTCAAGAGATTGTAATAGCTACAAAACGGAGAGCTTGTATCGTGAAATACATACCTGAAGCATCATCAAATGATATGCTGAGAAGTAAGCGACAAGATTGGCATGTGTCAAGATGGCTCCCCCTGGTGGACCTATAACCATGAAACAACGAAACACTCGACGAATGTGACATCTTTTTGGTTTTTGACACATGTAGCGCAGCAAAGCCGCTAACGACTAAAAGTAAATACGCGTGGTCCTGCTAAATACTTTAAAGATAGTGCAAAGTTAACAGGATAACATTTGATGTTCTCTTTGAAGCCTCCATTCTTCACAAGACAAAGTTAAGAAGCAAATCGATACTCTCGGTAAACCAGAATTGATAGCCCCTTGCTCTCAGCACTCGGACACGCTGCTTTTGAAATACGACACAGTTGTCACTTCGGCAAATCAAGGTATGCGCATCCCTTTAATTGGCCCGAAAACTGATATTTAACAAATCGACATCGATTTAGTGTAGTACGTACTCTTACATACAACGATATTCGTAAGCACAGGGGTCAAAATATGCGCCTCGTGATTCCATAAAATTTTGACCACTTTGAAGACGAATATCGTTGTCGATAAGAGTACGTATGGACCACGCAAAACCACTGTCAATTTGTAACAGCAAAAATCATGCAGGACAATCGTAATCGCTGCTTATTAAAACCGATCGGTCAATAAATTTGTCACTGAGCATCCATTAATGTTGGTATGAGTGCGGTTCTTTACCACAACCATTATGTGACACGTTGACGCAAGCAGCGTTGTCTGTACTATTATCGACAATATCAAATTGGCGATCAGATTGTGACATGTGATTAAAATGAATGTCATCGAGGAGTTCAATATGGAAGGGGACTGTCCATAATTTACATAAAGGAAGATGAAAATAGGAGGGGGGGAAGGGAAAGGAATCATGAAGATCAAAAGCATTTCATAACAGCTGCAGGGTGGGGTTCATTTTTCAGGGGGTGATAGAGGGTTTGTCATGACCCAATAAATCTTACCCGTTGTTCCACTCGTGTAACACACTGTTAAAACGTCTTCGGGCTTAGCAGGCTGAAAAAATGATACAACAGGAGTCTTATTAGTTTGCAATGATTAGCAAGATCGGCGAGACTTTTTGGAGTTGTGGAGGTTTAGTCGAGAGAGACTAAGCCCAAGAAGGCAGCATTTCAAGAAAATTGTTTTCGGACGCAAAATATCGATGGAACGATATATTCTCTTAATAAAAAAGGAAAAACAAAGCAAAATAAAACAAAACAAAAAAAACCTCCTAAATCTGATCTCTAATCAAGAACTAGGACAAGATTTCTTTCACGCATAGAATATTTTTATTGCATTAGTATAAACCTATTGGTCGTTCACAACTCAACTACAAGACCAGCTCATGTTTATATTTTATTTCGTTTAGAAACACACTTGTTCAAACTGCTCACTCTACTTACTGTCTATGAGGGATTACAGCTCACCACTAAATTTTCTCCGATTCTCATTGGTTTAAATTGATCCCGTGACGCGATAGTGCTCATCCGTGGAGAGACACTATCAGCCAATCATGCGCGTCTGCGGAAAATACCCGGATGGATAGTACTCATCCATGAAAAATTTTTAATGGTTTGACGGCCGCGAAGTTAGGCAGATCGGAAAGACAGTGAATTTTCAATTCTGACAGGTATAATGTATTATGCACGGTTGCGAATTACAGTGGAACCCCGATATAACCATATGCTACCTTTCTATATCA